AGCGCAGGCCTGACGTATTCTCTCCCCTGTGCATCCTCTCTGTAGGCTCACGAAGCTCTCACTGTGAACCAGTGGTGGGGCTTAGTTGCCGTGATGGTCGGTTGCTTCACAGAGGGAGTCATTGGTGAAGAGTATGATTCCTGCTATGATCCGCACTTGTTGACATCCGCTCTCATTGACATCATCCGCACTTGTTGACATCCGCTCTCATTGACACCATCCGCACTAATTGACATCCGCTCTCATTGACATCATCCGCACTAATTGACATCCGCTCTCATTGACATCATCCGCACTAATTGACATCCGCTCTCATTGACATCATCCGCACTAATTGACATCCGCTCTCATTGACATCATCCGCACTAATTGACATCCGCTCTCATTGACATCATCCGCACTAATTGGCATCCGCTCTCATTGACATCATCCGCACTAATTGACATCCGCTCTCATTGACATCATCCGCACTAATTGGCATCCGCTCTCATTGACATCATCCGCACTAATTGACATCCGCTCTCATTGACATCATCCGCACTAATTGACATCCGCTCTCATTGACATCATCCGCACTAATTGACATCCGCTCTCATTGACATCATCCGCACTTATTGACAGGCGGCCATGGAGCGGGGGCGTTTGGCGGGCCCACTGTCATCATGCCCTGCCACTGTCATCATGCCCGCCACTGTCATCATGCCCTGCACTGTCATCATGCCCACCACTGTCATCATGCCCGCCACTGTCATCATGCCCGCCACTGTCATCATGCCCGCCACTGTCGTCATGCCCGCCACTGTCGTCATGCCCGCCACTTGGTGCCCTGCCTTACCATCTGTCAACCATCCCCATGCACCCCCCATGCACATACCAAGCCCCATTTCAGCACCCAAGCGGCCATGGAGGGGGGCGCCTTTGGGGTGCCCACTCTTTTCGTCACCAATGCCTGTTTTTGTGCCTCGACATGTGCCAACCATGTGCCTCGCCATGTGCCTCGCCATGTGCCTCGCCATGTGCCAGCCATGTGCCTCGCCATGTGCCAGCCATGCCATGAATCACCCCGTGCATGCCCTCCCTCTCTTTCAACCCCCAGGCCAGCACACGTGCGGCCATAGAGCGGGGGGCCTTCGGCGTGCCCTCTCTCTTTGTCGCCCCCACTGCTCGCCCCGTCTGCCTCGCCACAGGCGCCACGCTCTTGCCCCTCTCCCCCATGCTCCCCATGCCCCCATACGCAACCCCCTCTTCCTGCCCCTCTCAGGCCAGCACACGGGCGGCCATAGAGAGAGGAGCCTTCGGCGTGCCCACTCTCTTTGTCGCCCCACTGCTCGGCCCATCCGCCTCGCCACAGGCGCCACCCTCTCCCCCTCCCACCGCCTCATGTTTTTCGGCTCCGATCGCTTCGAGCAGATGGCATGGCTGCTGGGGTTGCCGTGGCACGGGCCGTGTCCCCCACAAGCATCGCTATAGAGCAGCAGTGTTGTAAAGCTCCAGCGAGCCACAGGCGGCAGGCACCCTTTCGCCCTCCCACCACCTCACGCTCTTTGGCTCGTGTTGGTTCGAACAGACGGCATGGCTGCTGCAACTGCCCTGGCACGGTCCTTGCCCCTTCTAGCAATGCTGTGGAGTTAGGGCTCTGCTTGGGAAGCAGGAGAGCTGGAGGGGAGGGGGGGTTGGAGGAAGGAGTTAAGGCAGGCGGTTGGACCAAGGCAGGTGTTGAAAGGTGTCTCTCGCAGTGCAACAGCCGACCACCCTGTATGTAGACGCTGCGGTGTCTCAAGTATCGTGCAGAACAAGTCGTCGCAGTGCTCTCTGCAGGTTAGCAGCCGTGCTTGGTTTGGGTGTGTATGGTGATATGAACCACCTCGATTCGTGCTTTGTCTATTGTGCTTCCAAGCTGAGAGCATGCTGAGCCGAAAGCCACTGTAGGCAGTGAGGTGAAAGCTCAATGACACGAGTCATTGAGGTGAGGCGAAAAGCTGCCCTGAGCAGAGAACGTGCTTAGATTGATTTTGTTATGTACCAACCAATGCAGATCAAATCACGCCAGCCTTGTTCGTCCATGTCACAGCACTGTGTTTCAAGTTTCTAGAGCTTGCCAAAGCTTGGAGCTTCAAGCTGTGCCAAGCAAGCCTGAAAAGAACTGCCTTAAAAGCGACAGTGCGCTCCACCTCGGCACGTTTCGAGACGTCTCAAAACGAGAATACTAACACTTAGCTTGGACTTCTCAAGCAGCATCCACCTGCCGTGCTCCACCATGCACGCCACAGCCCATGTAGCTGAGATGAAAGTACTGCGGGAGAGGGAGTGCAACCCAGCTGCCGGCTGCTGCAACCAACCCAGGATCCTGGATTGGGCAGCGCAATGGGGGAGGGAGGGGAAGGGGGAAGGGGGAGCAATGGGCAAGGGGGAGAGAGGGGGAGAGGGGCAGAGCAATGGGGGAGGGGCGAGCGGGGCACAGAGTAATGGTGGAGGGAGGGGGGAAGGTGAGAAAGGGAGAAGCGCGTCAGAGGAATGAGGATGGGGGGGAGAGGGCAGAGCAGTGGTGAAGGGGGGGAAGGGGGAAGGGGGAAGGGGGAAGGGGGGGAAGGGGAAGTGGGGACAGCAGAGGGGAGAGGGAGGGAGGGGGGCAGAGGAGTGAACTGCAAGAGAAACAGGACGCCCCTCCTAAGATTGCCTCACTCAAGCTAATGCTCTCCCCTCAAGTACCGAGCAGGGCACAGTGTGCCTGCGCCCTCCCCTCACCTGCGCCCTCCCCTCACCTGCGCCCTCCCCTCACCTGCGCCCTCCCCCCACCTGCGCCCTCCCCCCACCTGTGCCATGTGTGGGCGGCGCGCAAGGAAGGGAATCGGACCCCAAACGTGGCCACAGTGGGCTCCTGCGTGCCCCATGCACACATTCTTCACCACCACTTCTCCCCACCTTCCTACTCCAACTACTGCTCTTCTCCTCCCCTCTTTCCTTCCCCACCCTCCCCACCCTCCCCCACCCTCCCCCCCTGCTATCCCGTGCCTCCACCCCACAGCTCGTGTCTTCTGTCCCCTCCCTGGGCAGCATGACATTCGAATCGACTCTAGAGTCCCCTCCCCAGGCGGCAGGTGGGTGGCTGTTTGAGGCGCCTCGCCCCAAGACACACCCGCCTTCTCCCCCCCTTAAAGCGTCACCCGCACCTCATCCCCTCACACCTGCCTCTGCCCGCATTGCCCCCTCGTATAAACTCAAACCCCCCCACCCCGCCCAACTGCCCCTTCACCGGCCCCATTATCTGCCCCTTCAGCTGCCCCCACACCGCTCTCCGCCAACCCCCACACAGATTCGCCCTCTCCTTTCTTGATAGCCCCCCTTTTCACCACAAGTGCATGCCTCGTTATAAGCCGCCTCACTACAGCATCATCTTCCCCCCATCCCTCTCCGCCAACCTCCATCTGCGCCGCTCTTAAAACATCCCCCTAGACGACAGCTGGATGCCGACCAGCACTAGGGATGCAGACAACGCATGCCGCGCCCCACGATGGCGAGCGCGGAGCGCGGCGGGGTGCGCCCCCCGGCGCGCCGAGGATGGCGGCGAAGAGCGACCGCGGGTGGCGGGCTTGCGCCCATGAGGGGAGAGATGCGCGGCTGCTGGGGGCACGGCTGATGGGGAAACGGGGCGCATAATTATGGGGTCTGCGCTTGGTCACGCGGTTGGGTGCAGAGCGGTGCACGCGGATGTGAAGCGGTGATGTGGTTGACATGAATGGGGCCCAAGGGGGGTTGGGTATCGGCGGGTGCGCTGTGCTTGGCTGCGGAAGTCTGCGCACCCATCGCACCCGTCTAAGTCACACCCGGCGCACCCGTGTAGGGTATTAGGCACGCTAACCCTGAGACAGGCGATGCGATGCGAACGTGTAGGTGCTAGGCGGGCAGGCAGGCTAGTCTTGAGGCGTTGGCAAGCTATCGACAGAGACGGCTGATGTAATGCGACGCGACGCAACGAACCCGAAGCCACGAGAACGCGCTTCAAGGAGAGCCGCTTTCAAGGATTGCGAAAGAATAAACCTTTTCCTAACAGATTCGTGAAAGCGATGTGCCCTACTCTTGGAAGACGAGGATGGCGAGGCGTGCGACGTGTGCGGCGTGTCGGCGACGCGAAGTAGCTGACTTGGATGCGAGAAGTGGCGGTGAGCGAGTGAAGATGCGGGCTGGGCTGGGCTTCATGGATTGGCGGGTGGCGTTGGTCACCCTGGAGTACTGCTGCACGAGATCTGAGGGCGTGTCCAGCGCGTTCGTTTACTATTCAATTTGCATATCAGGTACGAAATTTCGACATGGTAACCCGAAATTTCGTGTCCATTCGGACACGCACGATTAAATTGACGGTTTTGGCAGACCACCCTCCAAACGTGCCCACAGACGTGGGCCGCACGTTTTCGAACCGAATGAAAATCGTGCCCAAATTATATACACGGCAGAAACGTCCAAATCCTGGCTGGCGAAAAAAGAAACGCTTACATTCGCCAGGCTTTCGTGACGCTTGCGAAGAACGGCGAAAAAGCGGAAGAAGAATTGGAATTTGTCCTGTGTTTGTGTGTTTTTTTCCTATGGCGAGGGGGAAATTGAGCCCTCCATTTTTCCCCCCCTGGGTGGAGTCGTGGCTCGTAATGCGTGTTCGCGAAAGCGGGCGGGGCCTCTTTCCCGGGGCGAAATCCGGTTACCCTAATTTTTTTCTCGTGTCAGTCTGTTATGTGCGCGCTGCGCACCCACTCATTTGTCGAGACACGGGCGGGGCTCGTGTCTGCGCGTTTTGCTGCTGATACTGTAGGTGTACCTTAACACATTCACACTTGGCGAATCAATATTTCGGCGTGTTAAAAAAACGTCAAAAACTCGAGTTGGGGCGAAATGAACGCGCTGGACACGCCCTGAAACATGCACGCAACACAGGCGTGAGGCGAAACGCCGAGTTGCAATTGGCGTGTTATTTTCACTGCCCGTCCCTCCGGCTCTTTCTGAAGCTGCTCAGGCAACTCCGAGTCGCAATCGGCTGCCTGCACGCACAGTGGGTGAGGCACGACGCAGCCGCTTAGGTGACTTCCGAGTCACGACCCGCTGAGTCACGACTGGCAGTCGTAATAGATAGACGCGTGCACAGCTGGTGAAGCACGACGCGCCGCAGTCGTAGAGCGTGACTGAGTTGTCTCAACTACGACTCGTAATAGATGCCACAGCGACTCGTAATAGATGCCACAGCGACTCGTAAGCATGTCTGACCTGTCGTCGCTAATCGCTCGTCCCTTGCAACCCTACGCATGACTGCCACGTGGCGATCGCTTTGTCGTGTGAATCCACGCAGACGTTCGGGTCGCGCGTGCGCGCCTTGGGTTGCGCGCCGTCCATCTTCGTCCTGACCGTCGACCCAAACCCTAAAAGCGATCATCCTTTATTAAGTCTGCTTTTCATTCGCCTCAAAAGGGACGCCTTCTGGTGCGCGCCGTCACTCTTACCGAGCCGTCCTCCCGGTGATCCCGGCGATATTTGCTTTTCCAGCCTGGAGTCGCCATCGTCCGCGTTAATGGCGTCCGCCGCTACCGCGTACAAGCACGACAAGGCCCTCCAAGCGGGCGCACCAGCGCGAGCTCAAGGCGCTCCTCCGCGCGCCGGGCAACGAGACCTGCGCCGACTGCGGCGGCCGCTTCCCGCGCTTCGCGTCGGTGTCGCTGGGCGTGTTCCTGTGCAACCGTTGCTACGGCATTCACAGAGGCATCGGCGTGCACGTCACGCGCACCAAGTGCGTCGAGCTCGACGCGTGGAGCGCGGGGGAGATCGCCGCAATGAGAGCCATGGGGAACAAACGAGCGGCTGCGATCTGGCAGGGTAAGTTATGAGGGCGCGCTTCAGGGGAGCACAGGGGCGCGCGCGTGGGCACGACATGCGTCGAGCTGGACGCATGGAGCGCGGGGGAGATTGCCGCGATGACAGCCATTGGTAACGGACGAGCGGCTGAGATCTGGCAGGGTGAGCTACGAGGTCAAGGTGGCAAACGATGAGGTCAAGATGCTGCAGTATCTCGATTCTAGTGGCTCGCCACGGGCCACGGGCCACGGGCCACGAGATGAAAAGCTGCTGAGAGACTGCCGGCAACAGCAGCAGCACTCTCGGGTGCTCACCGCTCGCCCGCCACTCTATCCTTCTGCCTTGGCCTCGCGATCTTGGGGGTCTCCATCCGTCAGTCAGTCGCAAATGCTGGCGAGGTGGGAAGGTGCACCAGAGGCATGTATGAGCAGAGCCGCTACCCTGTCCAATGCCAACCCGCCCTCTGTATTCTCTCTTTACACCTGCCCTTCCGCCACCCCTCCCTCTCCCCAGGCAACGTCCCTTCCAGTGTGAGAGCACCCTCATCAGCCTCACCAGATGCAGAGGTGGAGCGGTGGATCCGAGACAAATATGAACGCCACCTCTACCACAACCCCGCTGCTGCTGCTGCTGCTGCTGCTGCTGCTGCTGCTGCTGCTGCTGCTGCTGCTGCTGCTGCTGCTGCTGCTGCTTCTGTCCCTACTCCTGCTTCTGCCCCGGTTGCTGCCTCCCCTCCCCCCGCCACCTGTTCCTCCTCCTGGCCCAATTCAACGCCCCTACCGCCGCCAGCAGGCGTTGCCAGTGCAGCTGCTCAGCCTAGTGCCGCACATCCCAGCAGCATCAACAGCAGCATCAACAGCAGCATCAACAGCAGCATCAACGGCAGCATCAACGGCAGCATCAACAGCAGCATCAACAGCAGCATCAACGGCAGCATCAACAGCAGCATCAACAGCAGCATCAACGGCAGCATCAACGGCAGCATCAACGGCAGCATCAACGGCAGCATCAACGGCAGCATCAACGGCAGCATCAACGGCAGCATCAACGGCAGCATCAACGGCAGCATCAACGGCAGCATCAACGGCAGCATCAACAGCAGCATCAACGGCAGCATCAACGGCAGCATCAACGGCAGCACAGCAAGCAGGGTCCACACCCATCCCCCCACCACCACCGCCCATGAAACTTATCAACCCAGCCATGCAGCTGCTGCTGGCATCTCTCTAAGTCATACATGGAACGCTGGTGTTCTAGGCGCTGGAAGCAGCAGTAACAGCGATGTTATATCCAATTCGGTTCCCAGTGCAAGCAGCAGCAGCACACTGAACTCCGACCGAAGTAAGCAACCAGCTGCTGCGCCTAAAGATCTGATTGATTTCTCACAGTGGTGACTTCTGGGCTTTATTACGAAGCAATGGTCAGTCTGTTTCTCACAAGACGAGAGTTGGGGGGGAGTGATATACGCATGTGTTTTTGTAGGGCTAATATGGCGAACGTGTTGTGCCAGGAAGGATAGTAGACCCGAAGGAAATTATTACCATTTTCTTTGTGCCTGCCATGTGTTGGAAATGATGAAAGGCATTTCCGGAGTCTCGTGTGAGTGTACGAATACGCGAAGACTGCAACAACGGGGATTATCAAGTCAACACTGCTACAGTACTACAAACAGTTGACGTGGGTTGACGGTGTCAAACATATATTGTATGTTTCTGTAGACTATATAGGGTTGTGCCTTAGGGAGTACAACCCATTAGGTTATATTCCCATGTATGCCTTGTTCTAGTCATTCTTTCACTTGAACATGGTATCATGAGTAGGTAGGTCCCCCCCCTCCCCTAGCGCTTCTGCCCTAGGTCCTAGCCGCCTCGTCGCCCCGCGGCTCGTCACTCGCGGCCCCGCGGCCCCGCGGCCCCGTCCCCTAGCGGCCCCGCGGCCCCGTCACCTAACGGCTCCGCGACCCCGTCCCCTAGCGGCCCCGCGGCCCCTCACCTCGCAGCCCCGCGGCCCCGTCACCTCGCGGCCTCGCGGCCCCGTCACCTCGCGGCCCCGTTACCTAGCGGCCCCGCGCCCCATTCCCTAGCGCCCCGCGGCCCGTCCCCTAGCGGCCCCGCGACCTCGGCACCTAGCGGCCCCGTTACCCCGTCCCCTCGCGGCCCCGCGGCCCCGTCCCCTAGCGGCCCCGCGGCCCCCGTCACCCCGCGGCCCTGTCACCTAGCGGCCCCGTCACCTCGCGGCCCTGCGGGCCCCGTCACCTAGCGGCCTCGCGGCCCCGTCACCTAGCGGCTCCGCGCCCCGTCACCTAGCTGGCCTCGTCGCCTAGCCGGCCCCTGTCTCCCTGCCGGCCCCGCCTCTTTGCCGGCCCCGTCGCCTTGCCGCCCGCGGCCCCGTCTTCTAGATGCCTCGCCGCTGTCCTCGGCTCCTCTGCACTGAGCTGCAGTGCCCGCCACTGCTCTGCACTGCACTGCACCGCACGGCACCGCACGGCACCGCACTGCACCGCCCTACACCGCACTGCATCGCACTGCACTGCACCCCTACCGTACTTCACCTCCCTCCACCGCACAGTACCACTCTGCACCGCACATCACCGCTTTCCGCCGTGCTCTCCTGCCCAGTACAGTCTTTCTCCTGCTGCTGCAACCATGATGGCGGGCTCAGTCCTGCGCTTTGATGCTGAGGGGCAGCCGATTGAGTTTGACTCATGGCTCGTCGACCTCCAGCGACACCTGACTGTTCAGCGGCAGGACGGCCACTCCCTGGCCGTCCACATCGATGGTACGCTCCCCTGTCCGGACCCCCTTGCTGCCCTCCCCGCCCCACCTCTGCTGACCGTGAGTCCGTTGCAGCTGCTGCCCTTGCCCGTGCTGTCTAGTTCTCGCGTGACGTTGTCGCACAGCTTGCGATTAGGCATGCCCTTCCTGACCTTGCGTCTTTCCCCACTGTCGCTGACCTAGCCGCCCACCTGCGCACGCTAGACATGACCTGGCGCGCTGCCTGCACTGAGGCTCAGCTTCGGGTGTTTCAGCCCCCCATTTGCTCTACCCACTACCTGCTTGCCACCCGCCTCCTTGACCGTCTTGCCACCGCCCACAATCACTTCCTTAGTCTCCACCCCGCTGACCTCACCCTCACTGACTTTGTCGACACCCTGTCTGCCATAGAGACCCGTCAGCGCTCTATCGCCCAGTCTAGCGGTACCGTGCCAGTCTCTATCTTTCAGGGCTGTGCCCCTACTCAGTGCTCTTACTCCGACGGCTCTACTGCGGTTGCTGAGACAGCTGCGGCTGTGGAGACAGCCGCCGCAGTGCAGTTTCATCCAGGTCAGGGTCGCCGCCCCAAGGCTGGGTGCGGCGGAGGTAGCGGAGGAGAGAGTGGTGCCGGTGGTGGAGGTGGCTCGCCCGCTGTTAGTACTAACCAGGGGGCTGGGGATGGTGCCCCGGAGCAGCCGCCCCAGCAGCAGCAGGAGGCTCCGCAGCTGGACCAGCAGCAGCAGGAGGCTCCGCAGTTGGACCAGCAGCAGCAGCAGCCGGAGAAGCAGCAGCAGCAGCGGAGGGTCGGCCATCTCCCCCACGGGTGGCCTGGAGCTGGAGGTGACGTTGGTCGCAGTGGTCGCTCGCGCGGCGTGCCGTCAGGTGGTAGTCAGAGTGACGGGCGCTACGAGTGCCAGCTCCAGACCGGTCCTCGCCGCAAGCCTCGTGTGCGGTAAGATCGGTCATACCCCCGCTCGTTGCTAGACGACCTGTTTCGTCTCCGCTTCGGTCCGTCGCCTGACCTCCTCGACTGGCACAGTCTGCTCCATCGTTGTGTTCATGGATGAGATTAGCTCTGCTTTGTATGCGCTGCATGTTGATGGACTCTTGTGTGACTGGTTCGTATTACCCTGTGTTGCCTAACGTAGGTGTGCCCACTGTGCCTAGTTCAGGCTCCCCTGCTGCATCAGGCGTAGGATCCCCTGCCTTGTTTAACCTAGGGTTCTCCCTCACTCCTCCGACCTCTGTCGCCGCTGCCGCGCTCTCCTTCACCCTTGACTCCGTCGCTTCCCGGTGTTTCTTTAGCGACTCCACGATGCTTACGCCACTTGCCGCTCCTGCTGCAGTTGCTCTTGCAGACCGTTCCTCCGGTCCTGTAGTTGCACGTAGCTCCACTACTCTCCCCTATCCAGCGGTTCCCTCAGGCTCCCTTACAGGCCTGCACATCCCCTCATTCTCTAGGAACCTAGTTGGTGTCGGCTGCCTCCAGGACCTTGGCGTCACCACTATGTTCCCTGGGCACGAACGGTACACTGTCTGTACTAAGGCCGCCACTGGTGCCCCCCTCACCACTTTCCCCCGGGACCAGGTGTTCGACCTGTTCACGCTAGACACCGCTTCCCCACCGGTTGGGATGCCTCCCCAGGTACCTGCGTCTTCCCAGGTTGCTGCGGCGTGCTCGTGTCGATCGCTTACTCACCCCTCACTTCTGTGGCACCACCGTCTAGGTCACCCTGCCCTCACCCTTCTCCGTCACATGTCCCAGCACCGTCTTGTCCTAGGCCTCCAGAGTCATTCCCTACGCTCCCCTCCTCACCCGCTCCTCCGTGCACGCCCAGTGTCGAGGGTCGGGCTCCGCCGAGCCCCTCACTCCTCCTCGTTCCCCCCTACCTCCGCACCGCTGCAGACCCTGCACATGGACGTCCGGGGCCCCGCCCCCGTCCATGGGCCGCATCGTGAGCGCTACTTCCTAGTGCTTGTCGAGGACTACACCCACTACACCACCATCTTCCCCGGGAGCGGAAGGCCGTCTTGCCTGACATTCTTCTCCCGTGGCTTGTCTCTGCGCGTGTTCACCGAGGTCTCCCTGTCTTGCGTCTTCACTCCGACCATGGTGGCAAGTTTGCCTCTGGCTGCCTTGGTCGCTTCTGTTGTGCGGAGGGCATCACCCAGACGTTCACATTGCCGGACTCCCCGCAGCAGAATGGGTCGCTGAGCGACGCATCGGGTTTGGTCATGGAGGTGGCTCCTACCTCGATGATCCCTGCCGGTGCACCCCATTTTATTGTGGCCGTTCGTCGTTCGCTTCACCGCTCACCAGCTTAACCTCTGGCCGCACCCTCAGCGGCCGCATGTTTCGGCCGACCCTCCTCTGGACCGGGTCCCCTGGTGATGCATCTTCGTTCCACGTCTAGGGCTGCCTTGCACACGTCGTGCCTCTGGCACGGACAAGCTCACTGCCCGCACTGTCCCCTGTGTCTTCCTAGGTTTCCCCCTTGACTCGTCGGACTAGCAGTTCTACCACCCGCCTTCTCACCGGTTCTTTCAGTCTCGTGACGTCATTTTTGACGAGTCCGTCTCCTTCTACCACCGCTTTCCCCACCGTGGTCCCCCCAATCACCCCCCCCCAGTTCCTGGTGCCCCCCCCTCCCTCGGTCGACCCTGTCCACCCCCCTCCCCGCCCTACCCCGTCTGGTGTGTCTCACGTCACCCCCCTCCTGTCGAGTGTCCCTGCTGAGGAGTCCGCTGACTCTCGTGGCTCGGCGGAGTCTCTTCCCCCGCCTGTCCCTGCCCTGGTCTTGCCTCCCATGTTGCCGCCGTGCTGTCCCCGCCGCTGCCGCCTCGGCCACTGCCGCCGCTGCGCCGCAGTTGCTGTCGTCACCACCGCTGGGGTTCGTGCATTCTGGGGGTGCTGGGGAGCCGACAGGGGCTGGTTCTGGAGCGGGCTCTGGGGGGTGCTGGCGTGGGGCTTCTCAGAGGGAGCCGTGCTGTCGCTGGAGGTTCTGGTGTTGGAGTCGGGGAGCAGTCGCAGCTGTTGCCGCCGGTGTTCGCTCTTCGCCTCTTCGGTCTCCCTTCCCCTGACTGCTCGTCACTGCCTCCCCCGCTGCCGCCGCCTCCTTCTTTGCCAGTCCACGGCCCCCTGTTTCCTCCCCCGAACTCCTCTCCGGCTCGTTCCCCTTCCCGTTGTCCTCCTGTGTCTCCTCCCCTCTCTCTTGACCCAACTCCTCCATCTCACGTCCGGTCTCGTTGTCCGTCTCGTGCTCGTCCTACCTCCCCCTGTTCCGCGTTCTCACCCTATGTTGCTGCGCTCTCACGCATCTCGTGCTCCTCCTCTCCTCCTGTCTCCTCCTCCGTCGTCGCTTGCTGTGGCCCCGCCTCCGTTCTCGGACTTCCTCCGTGCTGCACGTCCCCTTGTTCCTTGTATCCTTGCCTCTCTCGTTACCGACCCGTCCGTTCCTGTCTCGAGTCTGTCGGCTCTTGTCACTGCTGTCATTGACTTCGCCACTACCCGCTACCTGGAACTGACTTCGCCGCTACCCGCTGCCTGTCACTGACTTCGCCCCCGACCGCTCTGGTCTCTGACCCTGCCTGCCCTCCGGCCGTCGAGGGTGTGGCTACTCTTGGCAGTGACGTCCTAGAAGACAAGCAGTTCGAGCTCGCTTTCCTGTCTGAGGCCGCCCCCCCATCTCTGTTCCATGCTACTAGTCCCTGAGGGTGACCCAGACACCCTCGACATCCCGACCCCTCGGACCTACGCTGAGGTTACCTCGGGACCCTGAGCCTCTTCGTGGATAGCTGCCATGGAGCAGGAGATGGCATCTTGGAGATCCATCGGTACCTACGTCGACGCAGTTCCCCCACCTGGGGTGAACGTAGTCGATGGCCGGTGGCTCTTCAAGGTGAAGCGCCCTCCTGGAGAGCCGCCTGTCTTCAAGGCGCGCTACATAGCTCGAGGCTTCAGTCAGCGTAGTGGACTTCTTTCAGACCTTCGCCCCGACCCTGAAGATGACCACTCTTCGGGCATTGCTACACGTAGCAGCACAGTGTGACTACGAGCTGCACTCCCTCGAATTCTCCACAGCTTTCCTCTAGGGCAGTCTACACGAGCAGGTCTAACCGCGCCGCCCCCAGGACTTCTCCGGTACCTTCCCCCCTGGCACCGAGTGGCTCCTCCGGCGCCGCGTCTACAACTTGCGACAAGTGCCCCATGAGTGGCACGATACGCTGCGTGCTACACTTGCTGACTTGCAGTTCTTCCCTTCGTCTGCAGACCCTCGCTCTTTGTCCATTCCGGCCAGACTCCGTTCTACATCCTTGTCTACATAGACGATCTGGTCTTTGCTACTACAGACAGAGACGCACTGGCCGCCGTGAAGGCTGAGCTGCTGAGGAGACACATCTGCACTGACCTAGGAGAGCTGCGCCGCTACCTTGGCTTGCAGATCTCCAGGGACAGAGCAGCTCGCACCATCACTCTCTCACAATCACACTGGTGCGCCAAGTCCTTCAGAGGTTCGGCCTTCAGTTCTCTTCCGCACAGCCCACCCCTCTGTAAGTAGACCACAGACTCTCTGCCCCAATCCCTAAGGAGGCTGTAGAGCCTAGTGGTCCTACGTAGAGCTGGTGGGTTGCCTCATGTACCTGATGACTTGCACTCGTCCAGATCTCGCATACCCTCTCAACATCCTGGCTCGCTTTGTTGCCCCATGCAGACACCGACCAGAGCACTGGTCGGCAGCTAAGAGGGTTTTGCGATATCTAGCAAGTACATCGGGCATGGGGCTAGTGCTAGGAGGACGGAGACCAGTGGTCCTTACCGGCCACACAGAAGCTTCTTGGGCAGACGACACAGAGACTCTCAGGTCCTCGTAGGGCCACTCCTTTAGCCTTGGTGCAGGTGCCATCTCGTGGAGGTCCACCCGTTCCTCGTCTTTTGCCCAGTCTAGCTGTGAGGTTGAGATCTACACAGGTGCCATGGTGGCACAGGAGCTTCACTGGCTGACCTTCTTGCTCACCGACTTTGGTGATTGGCCTAGCTCTGCCCCGGTTCTGTATGCTGACAACAGGGCCAAGATCCTCCTGTGTCAGGAGCCCACGACTTGAGGGCAGAGCGATGCACATCCAGCTGCGGTACTTCCTCCTGCGGGAGCTGCAGCAGCGTCGCCAGGCTCGTGTAGTACACTTGGCCTCAAGTGCCAACACAGCTGATATTTTACTAAGGCGCTTGCGCCTAAAGATCATTAGCGGCACTGTGTACAGCTAGGTCTTGTTCCTTTAGCCTCTCACTTGCTAGGACCTTGATTGTGTACAGACCTTTATATATATTACCTTGACTGGCCTTGTGGCCTCTTCCCAGTGGTTGGACTAGTAGTGTCACCCTGGTCTTGCTCTTGCGTAGTCTGTACTTGTTTGACTGGTCTTTAGACCCCTGCCTCAGAGGCTGGACTAGTAGTGCCACCCTGAGCTATTTCTCTTTCATTGGGCACTGCCCCTATCCAGTCTAGGGGGTGTGTCAAACATATATTGTATGTTTTTGTAGACTATATAGGGTTGTGCCTTAGGGAGTACAACCCATTAGGTGATATTCCCTTGTATGCCTTGTTCTAGTAATTCTTTCACTTGAACAGACGGCACTCCGCAGTGGGGTTACGAAAGGGCAACGGTCGCAGAATATTGACCGTACAAACAACCCAACAGTCAGAATCGGAAGAGTCAAAGGTCAGAACGACAGCAAGGACAAATATCCGTCCCGACTGATATTACAGTACGGGTGTTACCTGAGTCCGCCTTATCGAGTCGTAAATGGGAATGCACCCCTAGAAAGTTAGACTCTTCATATTCTCTTGTACTATTATATAAACCTTGTATCCCTTTGCTATAATCAATCGCTCATTCTCACATTACCAGTACAAGGGTTCAACTCAAGACTTCCACTGTGCTATCACGCACTCTGTTACAAGGGCTTAGCATTCTGAAAAGATCCTAGGGCTATTCTCAGCCCAACACCACGCAAGGGTTAACAATATTCGTGATTGTTACGAGGTAGTTTACTATTCACTGTGTCAAACATATTTGTTTATGTCTTATAGGCTAGATAGGTGAGTAAGCTTAGATGGTACAAACACTTAGACAAAACCAACCTGCTTGCATCTTTCTAGTCATTCATTCTCATTCTGACATGGTATCACGCTAGGTTAGGTCCCCCCCGTCCACCCGTGCTTCCGCCGTAGGCCTAGTCCTAGCCGCCCCGTTAGCGCCACGCTGGCCCCTTAGCGCCCCGCTGGCCCCGTACGCCCCGCTGGCCCCGTTAGCGCCCTGCTAGCTCCGTTCGCGCCCCGCTAGCCCCGTCGAGCCCCGCTAGCCCGTGTGCCCCGCTGGCCCCGTGCACCCGCCGGCCCCCGTACGCCTCGCTGGCCCCGTACACCCCGCTGGCCCCGTTCGCCCCGCTGGCTCCGTTAGCACCCTGCTGGCCCTGTGCGCCTCGCTGGCCCTGTACGCCCCACTGGCCCCTTAACGCCCCGCTAGCTCCGTTCGCGCCCCGCTAACCCCATCGAGCCCTGCTAGCCCCGTGCACCTCACCGGCCCCGTACGCCTCGCTGGCCCCGTTAACCCCGCTGGCCCCGTTAGCGTCCCGCTGACCCCGTCGAGCCCCGCTAGCCCCGTGTGCCCCGCTGGCCCCGTTCGCCCCGCTGGCCCCGTTAGCGCCCTACTGGCCCCGTCGGGCCCCGCTAGCCCCGTGCGCCCCGCCGGCCCTCTTCGCGCCCCGCTGGCCCCGTTCGCGCCCTGCTAGCCCCGTCGCGCCCCTTTAGCCCCTGCGCCACACTGGCCCCGTACGCGCCACTGGCCCCGTGCGCCCTGCTAGCCCCGTGCGCCCCGCTGGTCTAGTGCGCCCTGCTAGCCCTGTGCGCCCCGCCGCCCCCCAGCTAGCCGGCCCCTCCCCCGTCAGCCCCCAGCGCCACCGTCCCTACTCCGCCGGCCAAAGCCCACACCGGCCTTGCGCCGTCCAGCCACCGCGCCGCAGTGCCACCGAGCTGCCGTGTAGCTATGCCGCCGTGTCGCTGCACCGCCGCGACGCTTTGCCGCCCCGACCTACTGGCCTTTTTGTCCTTTCTGCGCCGGCACATCTGCCGGCTGTCTCCACAAACTCTCCACCGCACTCCACCACACTCCACCGCACTCCACCGTACTCCACCGCACTGCACCACTCTCCACTACTCTCCATCACTCTCGGCCGCCTTCCTTCGCCTTTCCTCCTCTCTCTGTCAGCGGCACTCAGCTGCAGCAGCCGTGATGATGGCGGACTCACTGCTCCGCCTAGACCCAGAGGGTCGGGCGATTGACTTTGAGGCATGGCTTGTCGACCTCCGCCGTCACCTTACAGGTCAGCGCCAGGACGGTCACTCCCTGGCTGTTCATGTCGATGGCCTGCTTCCCCGCCCCAGTGCACCAGTTGCCGTCCCTGCCGCTCCCACCATTGCTGAGCATGAGGCCTTTTCCACTGTTGCGCTTGCTCGTGCTGTCTGGGACTTGCGGGACTCCGTCGCGCAGCTTGCTATTAGTTAAGCGCTTCCTCTGTCTGAGCGTCCCCGCTTTACCACTGTAGCGAACGTCCAGACATTCTTAGATGCAGTCATTGCGCACTATTCCACCCCCGCCTCCGCCTCTGCTGGCCGCCTAATCCTCCCCATGCTGTTCCACAATCTTGCGTCCTTCCCCACTGTCGCCGACCTTGCCACTCACTTTCGCTCGCTTGAGACTAGCTACCGCTTTGCTAGCACTGAGGCTCAGCTCACTGCCTTTCTGCCGCCGCTCTGCGCTACCCTTTACCTCCTTGCCACGCGCCTCCCCGACCGCCTAGCCACAGCTCGCGACCATTTCCTTAGCCCGTGACCTCACCCTCCCCGCCTTTGTCACCGCCCTGTCTGCGATAGAGACCCGCCAGCGCACTATCGCTTAGTCTAGCGGTACTGCGCCGGTCCCTATCCTTCAGGGCTGTTCTCCCTCTCAGTGCTCTTACTCTGACGTCTCAGCTGCTGTTGCTGAAACCGCCGCTGCGGCCTCAGTGCAGCCACGTCCGGGTAAGGGCCGCCGCCCCAAGGGGGGGCGTGGCGGAGGTGGGGCGGGGACAGTGGTTCTGACAAGGGGACAGGGGCTGGTGCCCCGGAGCAGCAGCAGCAGCACCAACAGACTCCGCAGCAGCAGCAGCAGCCGAAGCAGCAGTCACCGTGGGGACCCCCGCCACCGTGGTGGACTCGCGACACTAGTGGTGGTGGTCGTATTGGTGGCTGGTGCAGCTCGGGGTCGGGTGGCGGCTCCATTGCGGTCACCTGCCAGTACCAGCTTCAGACCGGCCCTGCCGCGGCACCGTCTGGGACCGTCCCGGCCACACCGCCCTCCAGTGCTACCACCGCCTGGACGACTTTTTCCGTCACCGCTTCAGTCCCATGTCGGACCCTCCTGACTGGTACGCCCTGGCTCGCCGCGTGTGCCTGTCTTTGAGCTTGACATGGATCAGATTAGGACTGCTATATCTGTCATATATGCTGATGATAGTAGTGTGATTGGACCCAGCTGTAGTTTGGTGCCGAATTGGTCCCACAGGTGGTGCCAGAAATTCGATGTGAATTTCGGGTCTCGGTCTGAAATAATGGCGGTAGGCAGTCCGTGCAGTCGAATGACGTTGGCGATGAACAGTTGAGCAGTTTGCTCAGCTGTAATTTTCTGTTGGCAGGCAATGAAGTGCGCCATTTTCGTGAGTCGGTCAACGACCACGAGGATGGCGTTGTTTCTGCTGGACCAGCCGGCAGTCCTGACATGTAGTCCATCGTGAAGTGTTGCCAGGGTCGCTCGGGCGGATCCAACGGCTGTAGTAGTCCGGCTGCTCGCTGATGGGATTATTTCATGATCTGGCAGGCGGTGCAGGAGGACACGTACTTGCGCACGTCGTCGGCCATGTTCGGCCAATTATAATTGCGTTACAACGTCTTCATGGTTTTGTCGAATCCAAAATGCCCGGAGGTAGGGTTGTCATGGGATTCCTGTATTAGAAGGGTACGAAGTAAATCGTAGCCGGGCACCTAGATGCGGAAAGTGTCGCGCTTATTAAAATAGTGTCCGGTGGCGGTGGTATGCTGTTGATGAATAGCAGAGCGGAAGAAGGGGTCGATTTTGTAGCCGTTGGTAAATAGTCCGGTAAACAGTGGGCTGGTCTGGGCGACTAGTATGGCGGCTGTATGGGCAGTGGGTCGAGTCAGGGCATCAGTGATATTGTTGGCGCCCCGTTTGTGGGTGATGGTGTAGTGGAAATTCAACTCGAGGAAATCGAGCCATCGGATCTGTCGCGGGTTGAGATTCGTTTGGGCTCGCAGGTACTGGAGGGATTTGTGGTCGGTCCGCACAATGACGTCAGCGCCTGTCAGGTAGCACCGCCAGGTCTTGAACGCGTGGACGATCGCCAGCATTTCCTTTGTCGTGTACCGTATAATTTTTTTCCGCGCCCTGCAGCTTCCGTGATTCGTAGGCGACCGGCTGTAATCCGTCGCCGAAATCCGGTAGGAGAACTGCACCGATGGCGATGTCGCTGGCTGTCAGTGATGACTTCGTATGGACGGTCAGGATCGGAGATGCGAAGGACGAGCGGCGATGTGAGGGCGATCTTCAGTTGGTCGAATGCAATTTGCTGCTTCTCTCCCCACCAAAACAATCATGATCCTTGAGTCGGTCAGTTAGCGGGGCAGATAACCCAGCCATGTTGGGTATAAACCGGCGAACGTAATTGACAAAACCCAAAAAACTCTGCAGCTCCTTGATGTTGCTTGGCGGCTTCCACTCCTGTATGGTCTTGATTTTCTTGGGGTTGATTTTCACTCCTTCAGTAGAAACGATGTGGCCCAAAAACTCCAGCTCCTACTTAAGAAAGTCGCACTTAGACCCTTTTGTGATGAGGCGATTCTTGTGCAGCAGTGTGAAGACTGCATCAAGATCCTGTAAGTGCTGCTCCCTGCTGCAGCTGTAGATTAGTATGTCGTCGAGGTAGATAATGACGCATTTGTCCAAGAGTTCCCTGAAAATTCCGTTCATGGTCATATGGAAAGTCGAGGGCGCGTTCGTGAGGCCAAAGGCATCAACAAGTACTCGTAGCTGCCGTAGTGGGTTCGAAATGCCGTCTTGTGAAAATCCTTGGCTGCGACGCGAATCTGATGGTAACCCCCTCGCAAGTCGATTTTTTAGAAGAACTTGGCGCCGCGAAGTTGGTCGAGGAGTTCGTCAGCTCTCGGGATCGAGTAACGCGACTTGATGGTGATTTGGTTGAGCGCGCGGTAGTTTGATGTACATTCTGAATCCTCCATCCTTCTTTGGCGTGAACAGTATCGCGGCGATGTATGGGGACGTGCTGGGCTGGATAAATCCCTTCGTCTGAAGGTTTTCCAGCTGCTGCTGCAATTCTTCCAGTTCTGGTTGGCTGAGCCGAAATTGTCACTGTACCGTCGGTTGGGCGCCTGGTTCCAGCTTAATGCGATGGTCTTCTGGCTCGACTAAGTCGGTTGTCGACTCGACGGAAGTCCAGCTGGCAGGTTGTCCGGGAAAATCTCAGGGTATTTCCGAATCAGGTCCGCTAAATCCGGAGGAATGGCTTCGCACAGCTTCGCGATATCTTCGGCTATTGTCGTCGACATCACCTCGCGAAGATCAACGGCGAATGCTGCAGCTCCCGCTTTTATCGCGCGTTTGAAAGTGAAAACACTGACTTGGGTGCTTTGCATGTAGCGCTTGCTGACCCCTCCTCAGGTCTGGTAGTAGCCTGTAGCTCCACTACCCTCCCCTGTCCGACGGTTCCCTCGGGCTCTCTTACATGCCTGCACATCCCCTCGTTCTCTAGGAACCTAGGTCGGTGTCGGCGGTCTTCAGGACCTTAACATCACCACTACGTTCCTTTGACACGAGCGGTACGCAGTCTGTACGAGGCCGCCACTGTTCCCCTCTGACTACATTCCCCCGGGACCTTGTATCAGGCCTGTTTACGCTTGACACTACGTCCCCCGCGGTGAGGACGTCCCCCAGGTGCCTGCGGCGACCCAGGCTGCCGCGGCTTCCTCGTGTCGGTCGCTCACTCACCTTTCACTACTGTGGCACCACCGCCTAGGTCACCCCCCACTCTCGCAACTACGTCACATGTCCCATCACGGTCTTGTCTTCGGTCTCCCTGCGTCGCTCCCTTCCCTTCCCCCTTGTCTGCGCCGATGTGTACACCTTAAGACGAGGGTCGGCTGGCACCGTGCTCCTCACTCCACCTCGTTCACCCCCTACCACTGTGCAACTCCAAACCCCTGCACTTGGACGTTTGGGGCCCAGCCCCCGTCCTTGGGCCCCATTGAGAGCACTACTTTCCAGTGCTTGTCGACGATTACACGCGCTACACCACGGTGTTTCCCCTGGAGCGGAAGACTAACGGACCTGACGTTCTTATCTCGTGGGTCGTAGCTGCGCGAATCCACCACGGCCTCCCACTGCTTCGTCTCCACTCCAACCGTGGCGGCGGGTTTGCCTCTGGTCGGCTTGGCATTTTTGTCGTGCGGAGGGTATCACCCAGTCGCACACCCTGCCAAACTCCCCGCAGCAGAATGGGGGTCACTGAGCGACGCATCGGTTTGGTCATAAAGGACGCTCGTACCTCGATGATCGATCCGGTGCACCCCATTTTCAGTTTACGTTCGCTGTTCGCTACGCCACTCACCTGCTTAACCTGTGGCCGCACTCCCAGTGGCCGCAGGTTTCGCCGACCCTGCCTCTGGACCAGGTTCCCTGGTGATGCGACTGCGTTCCACGTCTGGGGCTACCTTGCTCACGTTCGTGCCTCTGGCACAACAAGCTCACTACCCGCACTGTCCCCTGTGTCTTCCTTGGTTTCCCCTTGACGCGTCTCACTGGTACTTTTACCACCCTCCTTCTCACTGCTTCCTCACTTGCGTGATGTCACTTCTGACGATTCTGTCTCCTTTTACCACCGGCTTTCCCCACCGAGGTCTCCCAGTTTCCCCGCCCCTGTTTCTGGTTCTCACTCCCCGGTAGCCCTTGCTCCTCTCCCTCCCCGTTCTGCCCGTCTGGTGTGTCTCACGTCACTCCCCTCCCGTCGCTTGTCCCGGTTGAGGAATCGCTGATACCGGGGACCCACGGCTTTGGTTTTGCTGCCTGTCTCTACCCGGTGTCCCTTCCTCCGACGCCGCCGCCGCCGCAGCAGCAGCAAAAGTCACCGCCGTCGCAGCCGCAGCCACAGCAGCTGCCGGGTTCCGCGAGTTTTGGGGGTGCGAGTGTTGGGGAGGGTGCTAGTCCTAGGGTGACTCTCGTGGCTTGTCCGGCAGTCTCGAGGGTGGCACAAGTGCTGGAGAGGGTTCTCGTTCTGGGGATGTTGGCGTGGAGTGTCTTGGAGGTAGCCATGGTGCAGCTCGTGGTTCTGGGTGTTGGCGTTGAGCAACACAGCAGAAGCCACAGTCACCGCCGGTGTCCGCCCTTCGCCTCCTCGGCCTTCCCTCCCCTTTCCACCCGCCATCGCCTCCCCTGCCTGTCCACGGCTATGTCTTTCCTCCGCCGGACTCGTCTCGGCTCGTCCCCCCCTTGTTCTCCTCCTTGACTCCTCCTTATCTCCTAACCCTACGCCTCCGTCTCACGTATGTTTGCCATCCCTCCGTGCTCGTCCTGTCTCCCCTGCTCAGCGCTCCCACCCTATGTTGCTTTGTTCCCACGTTCTCGTCCTCCCCTCCTCCCGTCGCCTCCTCCGTCCTCGCTCGCTGTCACTCCGCCTCCTCTGTCTAACTACCTACGTGCTGCTAGTCTCCTGTTTCTTGGTCCATGCTTCCCTTCCGTTACCGACCCGTCCGAACCTGTCTCCAGTCTTGAAGCGCTTGTCGCTGCTGACGCTGATTTCGCCTCTACACGCTGCCTAGACTACGCCACCACTCTGGTCTCTGACCTTGCGTGTCCTCCGTCCGTCAGGGGTGCTCCTGCCCTTGGCAGTGACGTCCTAGAGGACTGGCAGTACCAGCTCGCTTTCCTGTCCGAGGCTACGCCTCATCTCTGCTCCATGCCGCTAGTCCCTGAGGGTGACCTAGACTCCTTTGACATCCCGACCCCTCGCACTTACACTGAGGCGACCTCGGGGCTCTGGGCCTCTCAGTGGATAGCTGCCATGGACGCAGAGATGGCATCTTGGAGATCCACCGGCACCTACGTCGACGCACTTCCCCCACCTGAGTTGAACGTAGTTGATGGCTGGTGACTCTTCACGGTGAAGCGGCCTCCTGGAGAGCCGTTGGTGTTCAAGGCGTGCTATGTAGCTAGAGGCTTCAGTCAGGGCGAGGGTGTTGACTTCTTTCATACCTTCATCCCGACCCCGAAGATCACCACTCTTCAGGCACTTCTACAGGTAGCAGCAGAGCGTAACTATGAACTGCACTCTCTCGACTTCTCGACAACACGAGCAGGTCTACTTGCGTCGCCTTCCAGTCTTCACCGGCACCTTCGCCCTGGGGACTCAGTGACTCCTCCAGTACCTGGTTTACGGCCCGCGGAAGGTGCCGCGCGAATGGCACACCTGCTCCATGCTACGCTAGTTGACTTGCAGTTCTTCCCGTCGTTTGCAGACCCTTCGCTCTTCGTTCGTGCTGGCCAGACCCCATTCTACATCCTTGTCTACGTAGATGACCTGGTATTTGCTACAGCAGACAGAAACGCACTGCCCTCCGTAAAGGCTCAGCTGCTGAGGAGACACACCTGCACTGATCTAGGAGAGCTGCACCGCTACCTTGGCCTGCTGATCTCCAGGGATAGAGTAGCGCGCACCATCACTCTCACATAGTCACACTTGGTGCGCCAGGTCCTTCAGAGGTTCTGCCTTCAAATCTCCTCTACACAGCCCACACCTCTGCCGGTAGATCACAGGCTCTCGACTCCAGTCTCTGAGGAGCCTGTTGAGCCTAGTGGTCCTTACCAGAGCTGGTGGGTTGCCTAATGTACCTCATGACTTGCACTCGTCCAGATCTCGCATACCCTCTCAGCATCCTGGCCCGCTTTGTGGCCACAG